TTTCGCTAGCGGTTCGAAGTCGAAGGGGTGGTGATATTTCGCCGGCAATTTTAGGCGAGGGGGCGAAGATATTTCGCTGGCGGTTTTAAACGGGGAGGTCGGGATATTGCGCAGGCGATTTGAAGCCGAGGGGGCGAGGATATCTTGCTGGCAGCTGTAAGCCAAGGGGATGACGACATGTTGCAGGCGTTCTGAAGTCAGGGGGGTGATGATATTTCGCTGGCAATTTTCAGCCGCGGCGCGAGGAAATCCCGCTGGCAATAGCCGGGGGGCGAGGCTATTTCGGTGGCAGCTCGAAGCCAGGGGGAAAATATCGCGTCGGCCGTTTAAGCGAGGGGATGGGCATCGCCGGGAGTTTTTAGGCGAAGGGGGCGCGGATACTTCGGTGGCAATTATAAACGAGGAGGCGAAGATATTTCGATGGCAGTGCAAGGCCAGGGGTTGAGAATATTTCGCCGGCAGTTCTATGCTAAAGAAGGCGATGCTATTTCGCTTGCAGTTTTCAGCCAGGTGGCGCGGTTATTGCGCTGGCAGTTTAAGCCGAGGGGGCGAGGGTATTTCGTTGCCAACGTTAAACCAGGGGCGAGCATATATCGCTGACAACTTAAGCCAGGGGGGCGAGGCCAATTCGCTGGCAGTGTGATGCCATGGGGCGAGGACATTTTTTGCGTGACGCCGAGCAGCTTCCGCCTCGCGAAATTCATCGCGCGAGGTAGAAGATGATGCTTGGCGCGGCGATCGCCCAGGTTATCTCAGGAAGGGAGGGGGGGCGGCGGACGAGCCGACCTTTGCGCTGCGGGCGGCCCTCAGGATTCCGCTGGAATCTTTTGGTTTCCAAGAGATTCCTAAGAATTCCTCAGGATTCCTGAGTTTCCGCGGTATCTGCCCGCCGCGCAAATCGAGGTCATCTGGGGCGAGAGCTCGGCAACCCGGACTTGCCCCCGCGCGGCCTTAACGGCTGGACAACGGGGCCGCGCCCGACTTGTGCTCTCCGGGCGGGCCAACGTCGGGGCCCGAGCGGCGAGCTGCTTCGTGGCGTTTTTCGGGGAGGCTCGCCGGCTTCACTTCGCCCGGCAGCGCTGCTGCCGCGCCCGCTCGTCTGCGCGGCGGAGCGCCCTCTCTTCGGTCGTCTCTGTTTCCTGCCGCTCAGCGCGGCGCTCCCGGCGCCGCTGCCACCGGGCGGCCTTTTTCGCCCGCGACTGCCGGTTGACCTTCTTCTGCTGGGCGGCCAGGGCCTCCGCCCTGCGCGCCGGGGGCGGCGTCCGAGGCGCAGCCAGACGCCGGAGAGGGGCGGCGCCCCCGGGCAGACGGGCGCCCGCGGCAGCGCGCGCCAGAGCTCGCAAACAGGCGAGGGCTTCCGGCCGCGAGGCGTAGGACTAATTCTCCAGGAAAGGCGTCCGCTGGACTGCCAAACTGTTCTGCTTCGCGTGCTCTGTTCGCCGTTTGAAGCCCGCGCCGGCAGCGTCTGCCAGCCGCGCGCGCATTCGCCCTCGGAGGACAAGACAACCCGCCCCCGCCTCCACCAAGGACCCCGCGCCCGACCTAGCGATCCAGGCGGCCCCAGCCGCGGGCGGGGGGGGTCAGGGGGCCCCAAGAGCGGCCAGGTGGGATGAACGGCCCCAGCAGACCCGCCGCGGGCACAACCGCCGCCAGCGCGGCCACCTGGCGCCGGCGGTTGCGCCGGCGACGGTTCTGCTGGCGGTTGCGCTGATGGTTGCGCTGGCGGTTGCGCTGGCGGTCGTGCTGGTCTTCGTGCCAGGTGGTCGTGTTGGCGGTCGCGCTGGCGGTCGCGCCAGCTGTTGCGCTGGCAATTACGCTGGCGGTCGCGCTGTCGACGGGCGCGACCGCCAGCCCAACCACCGGCGAAGCCGCCAACGCACCGCCAGCGCAAACGCCGCCACAACCACCAGCACAGACATAACCGCCTGCACGACCGCGAGCGCAATTGCCAACCAGCACAGCCGCCAGCACCACCGACAATCAGCAAAACCACCAGCACAACCACCAACGCAATCGCCCGCGCGACCACCAGCACAACCGCCAACGCAACCGCCAGCACAACCACTAACACGACCACCAGCGCGTACACCAGCGCCACCGCCAGCGCGCCGCTCGCTGAACGCGTCGGCGGCCACCGGCGCAACCGCCGGCGCAGCCATCAGCACAATCGCCAGCAGAACCGCCACCAGCGCAACCACCGCCGCGACCGCCAGCACAATTGCCAGCCAGCGCAGCAACCAGCACAGGCACCAGCACAATCACCAACAACCGCAACCACCAGCACAACCACCAACGCAACCGCCAGCGCAACCACAAGCACCACCACCAGCACGACCACCAGTACAACCACCAGCACAACCACCAGCACGAACAGCAGCACAACCACCAGCAAAACCACCGCCATCACTCCCGACCTGATGATCCGGGTGGTCCTGGCGGGGGGGGGCGAGTTGTCCAGCCCTCGTCCTTTGGCTCTCTGGTCGCTCGCGCGCAGTTCGATCAGCTCCATGATGAACCCTGCAGACCCGGCTGCCTTTGCGAACTGCTGCGTGAGCACCCGCGCGCCGTCCGCGACCACCAGCTGAACGCCTCGGCGGGCCATGCTCGCCAGCGCGGCGGCGCAAAGGCGCGGACACCCCCAATGCAACCGGTCGCAACCGTCCAGGCGCCCCGGCACTTCGCTCACAGTGGGCCTACCAGCGTGGCGCCCCGCCCACCGGCCGAAAACGGCAACGCCCTGCGTCTCAAGCCATGCTGCCGAAGGTCCGTTCCGTGACGTGCTTTTGCTCTCGCGGTCTTCCCAAGCGAGCTCCTGAATCGATGAAGGCAATACGCTGCACGCGTTCACTGTACCTGGCCAGGGCCACTGTTGGGCCCAGGAGCAGTATGCGATCTCCCGGTTTGGCAACGGAGGCGCGCGCGCCGCTCCTGGATTCAGCATGGCTCTGGCCAGGGGAAGCGGATGCGTATGGACCTCGTCGCCCGAGCTCCTCCACCAGGGATCTCTCTGTGGGGGTCTTGGCAGAACTGGACGGGCCGCCCACCGCCACAACACGAGGAAGAAGCGCGTGTCTTGCTCTACGTTTCGCGCTTTTCGCACTGTTCTATTTTCTGACTTCTCGCAACGCTTCGGGATTTTTCGACTCATCGCGCTTTTCTACTTTTCTACGTTTCGCGTTTGTTTCGCAATGTTATACTCTTTGTTCTTTTTCGTACTTTTCGCACTTTTCTCACTTTTCGCACTTTTCCCGCTGTTCGCACTTTTCGTGCTCGTCGAACTTGTCGCACATTTCGCACTTTTCTACTTTCGCACATTTCGCACGTTTCGATCTTTTCGCATGTTCCGCAATTTTCTACTTTTTTACTTTTCACACTTCTCGCACTTCTTGCACTTTTTCGCACTTTTCTAAGTTTCGCGTCTTCCCTCGGTTGTTGGAGACGTTTAGATAGCCGGCTTAGCAGGATCCGCGCCCCTCGGAGCCCCTTTCCTCCCTAACGCTCTGTCCAACGCAGGCATGCAAACCCTCATGGTTCTCTCAGGGGAGGAGGAGTGGGAGGGAAGCGGATGAGGCGGAGGATCGAGACGAGGGGAGAGGGGAGGAGGAGGAGGAGGAGGAGGAGGGAGGAGGAGGAGGAGAGGAGAGGGAGGAGGAGGAGGAGGAGGAGGAGAGGAGGGAGGAGGAGAGGAGGAGGAGGAGGAGAGAGGAGGAGGGAGGAAAAGGGGGAGGGGCAGGGGCAGGAGGAATGGGAGGGAAGCGGATAAGGCGGAGGATCAAGACGAGGGGAGAGGGGAGGGGGAGGCGCAGGCCGAGGGGGAGGAGCACATCCCCCCTCCAGCGACCACCCCTGTGACTGTATTGGGGCCCCTCCGCTGCAGAAAAACGAAATCCCCTGCAGTTGCGGAGAAGAGCGAGGTGGCGCGGGTGGGCGGCGGCGCGGGTTGGCGTCGATAGCGTGTCGCGGCGCAGGTGGGTCGTGGGTGGGTCGCGGCGCGGGGTGGGTCGCGGCGCAGGTGGATCGCGGGAAGACGACGGCAACATAATCGAACATATGTACCGACAATAACGACAAACCGCACCACGGAACCTCACTACGGCCGCGCACATGGGGGCCTTGTGAGACAGCTCGGCCCCCTCACTCTGGCATTGGAGGGGGGGGGCAGCGCCGGCCCAAGGAATCTGCGCGGAGCTCCGACAGTTTATGTGCATGCCGCACGCCGCTTTTCTCCTTCGAGTCATTGCATTGGAGCCCCTCCCCATTGGGCCGAACGGTCATTCATTGTCCCTGGGTGCGTGGCTGACAGGAGATTCCGAGGCGTGGGTTCTGCTTGGATATTGTTGTTTATTTGTTGTCGTTGTTCGTCGTCCTCGCCCGCGACCCCCCCCGTACCCCCCCCGCGACCTACTTCGCGACCTACCCCGCGACCCACCCCGCGACCCACCACGCTTCGTGACCCACCCGTGACCCGCGCCCGCCCCCTCACTCTTATCCGCAACTGCGGGGTGCTACGTATATCTGAATTTCGGAGCAGGGCGAGTTAAGACAACAGCAGCTCAAAGTCGGTCCCCAGACCCCTCTCGCGGTCCAAACGCACCAGCTTTCCGAGCAGCGTTTAGCCGCGGCGTCGAGGGGGTCACCCGCAGGCCAATTACTGTTGCTTCAGCTCGCCCTCTTCTGAGCATTGGGGCCCTCGCCCGAACAAAATATGATCTGCAGCTCCTCCCGCTGACCCCGTGGCTGCACCGGGGTTCACCAAGTTCGGCTACACGCAAGAGCGACCCAAGGCAGGAGTGACCTTTGGTGCGCGGCTTAACGGGGGACGCGGGGTGGCCAAACCTGAGCGCGCAAGCTGCTGCTACCGCTTCGCGCTCAGCGATCGGGGGACTCCATTGGGCCCGCACCGAGGGTCACTCCGGCGAAAGGTCACTCTGATGTCTGGTAGACAAGTGCCGCCGACGCCGCTGGCCGCCTCCCCCCCCGCCGCCCCCCCCCCCGGCCGCCTCGCCGGCGTCCTGCCTCATCGACTTCGCGAG